GGACCTTGGGATATCTGCTAAAGAAAGCTGCAGGTATGGAGCTGAACTGCCTAAGAGAGAGGCTGTGTATGATGGAGGACGGAGGGAGGGTGTATTCAAGTCTTTTGAGCCCAGATGGTTCCAATATGAGTTCCATTTGCTGGACATGAAGTGGCAGGATTTTTTTTGTTTGCCCAATGTGCTTCAGTATTGCTTTTGTCTAATCTTCCTTCTGTTCCTCATTCCTTCCTTTTCAGGGTGGGAATGCTTACCTTGTGTCATTGTGTGCTAGAAGTATGTAACTTGGTTTTGGATATCATAGGGCTCAGAATAAAGACATGGCCTCAGTCTTAGAAGAGACATGGTACTTAAACTTTGACATGTTGGAACTGTTAAAGATCACCTGTTAAAGAGGGTGGGACATTTGAAGTTGGACTATTGAGTTTTGCATTATGAGATGCTCGTGAGCCTATGGGGACAGTGGAGTGGAGGTATGGTTTAAAGTGATACATTTGAGTATCAAGTTGATAAGGAGTAGACTTATGATAATTAATCTTGATTGTAAACTTGACAAAATCTAGAACCCCCATGGAAACAACCCTCTGGCCATGTCCGTGACGGTGTGTCTAGATTAGGTTAATTGAAATGGGAATGTGGACAGCACCATCCCATAGGCAGGGGCCTGGATTTTATTTTCAGTTTTTCAGGGCAAGGCTTCTTTATGTAGTCATGGCTGTCCTGGAACTTGCTTTGATGACCAGGCTGGCCTTGAACTCACAGAGATCTGCCTACCTCTGTCTCCCAAGCACTGGGGTTAAAGGATGTGCCATTATGCCCAGCTCCTGGATTTATTAAAAGAAGAAAGTGAGCTGAGCTCAGTGCCAGCATTCATGCCAGCTGGACATTCCTCCCTTCAGACACAATGGGGCAGCTGCCACAGCTTCCCTGCCCTAGTGGGCTGTACCTCGGAATACTTTCCTTTCTCCCTCCCTCCCTGCCTCCCTCCCTCCCTCCCTTCCTTCCTTAAGTTGCATTTATCAGATATTTTGCCCAACAATGAGCAAGGGGTCCAGGCAGCGTCCTGCCCTTCTGCCCTTTCCTGTGATTCCAGTAGTCCTGCTGGTAAGCTTTGCAGTATGTTTTCTTCTTTATTTTTCTCCTTCAAAAAGCCAACATTTCAGGGTTAGTGAGGTGACTCAGGGTAAGGGTGCTTCAGCCAAACTTCACAATCTGAGTTCAAATCCCAGGACCCACGTGATAGAAGGAGAGACCTGACTCCCATAAGTTGTCCTCTGACTTAAGCACACACACACACACACACACACACACACACACACACACACACACACATACACACACACGGTGGGGGGGAGACAGAGAGACAGAGACAGACAGAGAGACAGAGACAGACAGAGAGACAGAGAGTAATAAATAAATGTTTTTTAAATAAATTTTTGTTTGTTTTGAGAGAGGGTCTCACTATGTCGCCCTGGACCTCACTAGGCAGATCAGACTGGCCTCAAACTGATAGCTCCACCTGCCTCTGCCTCACAAATTCCAGAATTAAAGGTGCATATACCACCACCCCATCTCAATGTTTTTGTTTTGTTTTGTTTTTCTAGACTGGGTTTCTAGATAAAACAGCCCTAGCTGTCCTGGAACTCGCCTTGTAGACCAGGCTGGCCTCAACCTCATGGAGATCTGCCTGCTTCTGCCTCCCAAGTGCTGGGATCAAAGGCATGTGCCACCACCACCTGACTCAATTTTTTTTCAATGTGGTATTTGTGTACAATTGTTAATTTAACCACTTTTTTTTTTGAGACAGGTCTCTCTCTCTCTCTCTCTCTCTCTCTCTCTCTCTCTCTCTCTCTCTCTCTCTCTGAAGACCAGGCTGGCCTTGAACTCACAGAGATTAACTTACCTCTTCCTCTCAAGTGCTGCAATTAAAATGCATGTGTCTGCTATGCCCAGCTCAACCACTTTTTAATGTATTGTTTACTTATTTTTATTTTTGAGGCAAGGTCACACTATATAGCCCTGGTTGGAACTCACTATGTAGATCTGGCTAGCCTCAAACTCATATCAATCCTCTTGCCTCTGCCTCCTGAGTGCTGATATTACAGGCATGTAATATCTTCATTCCTTCTTGGAAGGCTATGACTTCTCCTTCACAAACTGCATTGGCTGCATCTCATGAGACACTGTCACCTGAGATCCTTCTCTGGGAGTGTTCCTCTCTGTGTTCCCATGACACACTGTGCACTAGCCTCTACCACTGTGAGGGTCTGTAGTGTACATTATATTAGTAACTTTGTGTTGTTCAAGCTCATTGAAAAGTTCCCCCATTTCAGACCCATGTTGTCTTAGAGTGTCCTCCAAGGTCTAGGGATGGGCTGCCCCCAACCAACTCTGTGACCTGTAGAGACATGAACAGCAAAATGACCCAAAAGTAAAGACTCTGAGCCCTTGAGAGTAGCTGGAAGTTGTCTGTGGTAGTTTGAATGTAATTGGTCCCCATAAGCTCCTAGAGAATGGCACTACTGGGAGGTGTGGTTTTGTTGGAGTAGGTGTGGCTTTGTTGGAGGAAATGTGTGTCTGTGGAGGCAGGCTTTGAGGTCTCATATATGCTCAAGCCACACCCAGTTTTGCAGACCACTTCCTGTTGCCTGTGGGTCAAGATGTAAGAACCCTCAGTTCCTTCTCCAGACCATGTCTGCTTGAATGCCACCATGTCCCACCATGATGATAATGTACTGAACCTCTGAGCTGTAAGCCACCCTTTGCAAGAGTTTTCCTTTATAAGAGTTGCCATGGTTTCTCTTCACAGCAATAGAAGCCCTGACTAAGACAGCAGCCATTCCCAACAGAGGTTACTGGTGTTTATCCCATGATGCACAAGCCCTGTGGTGGGCAGGAGAAGCTGGGAGTCCAGCCATGGACAGAAAGCTCCGTCCTGAACTCCAGCTGATGCCTCAACTTCCCCAGTCGCTTCCTACTGGACGATGTAAGAGTCTGATTTGATGACCTCCTCTCTCTGTTGCTATTTGTCCTTTTACTGGAGCCTCACCTGAGGGGCCAGCTACTGTGCTGGGACTCTCCATAGAGAACTCACCCGAGGGGCCAGCTACTGTGCTGGGACTCTCCATAGAGAACTCACCCGAGGGGCCAGCTACTGTGCTGGGACTCTCCATAGAGAACTCACCCGAGGGGCCAGCTACTGTGCTGGGACTCTCCATAGAGAACTCACCCGAGGGGCCAGCTACTGTGCTGGGACTCTCCATAGAGAACTCACCCGAGGGGCCAGCTACTGTGCTGGGACTCTCCATAGAGAACTCCAGCAGGCTGCCTTGATGGGACTTCCCCGGTCAGCAGTCAGCAGTGCCTGATTTGACATTTGCCCCAACTCCTCCTTCCCTCTCTCTCTTAAGAAACTCATTCCAAACAGAAACTATGACTACCACAGACCATTCTCCTAACACACCTGTCCATTATGAACAAATATGGTGCACGAACAAGGCCCACTCTGTTTCCAGAACTCTCTGCCCACTGTCTGTGACTCGCAGACCCAAGCCAGCTGTGGCCAGTGCTGTGCCGAGTCCTGGAGACACCTGGGCTGGGGCACTTGCTGACTCTTTGTTGGGTTGATGACTCCACCTGCTCATCTGTCAGTCAGCCCAGAGCACCACAGGAGGGAGGCTTAAGCCACAGGCTGGGGTTCCTCACGGGGCTGGCTTCTCCCAAGGCCTCTCTCCTGGGCTGGCAGACAGCATCTGACACAGGCTGTGTCCTAATGTCTCTTCTCTTTCTCTGGGGACACCAGTCTCTTGGGGTTAGGGACCATGTGACCTCAATTACCTTCATCATCTCATTCAAGATCCTGCCTCCAAATTCAGGTGCTGAGGCTATGAGAGATGAGGAGTCCAACACACAGATTTTGAGAAATACTATATGTCCAGTAACATGATTGTCCTCTTCCAACTTCAGATGTAATGGGAGTGGCTGCCTCACGCTGTTCCAGTGACTTCTCAGCCACGATGGACTGATCTGGAACCGTGAGCCAAGCCCATAAGTTGCTTTTGTCCTGGTATTTATCGCAGCGGCAATCAGGAGGCTGAGACACTCCAACATCATTCTGGATTATGAAATGCAAAACTCAAGGTTCCTGAGGGTGCCGCTTTCCATCTCTATTGTACTGTCTCCTTGCACAGGGAAGTCACGTAAAATCCCTGGAGTAGCTGCAGCCTTCTTGCAGCCATGAAGCCCTAAACCTGTGCTAAAGAGGGCGAAACAGAAGTCAGTCCAAGTCGCAGAACTGCCACACAGCAGCCTCGAGAACCAAGCACAGACATCTTGCTACACGGTCTGGCTCAAGGAGAGCACAGAGGAATACTGACTACCACCACTGACCTGGGGAGTCGCCTAAGGTTGGCAGACCCCCATCTCCTGCTGTCTTCTCACAGCGCTGGGTCTCACACACAGGTGATGCATGTATTCACATGTGTGCGAACTGTGAACTCTCCTATCCAGTGCTACCTGGGCTTCCCAGAGTCAGGGACTCGGAGTTTTACAAGCGACACAGTCCCATGAAAGCTGCATCACCAACCCCGTGGGTTCATTCTTGTGACAAACCAAGGTGGGAAACTGAGGATCCGATGGGTGAGGAGTTGTCAGGGCCAAGGACATCTGGGCTTGAACTCCATCTCATGAGGCCATTTGAAACACGTCCCTGAGGTCTGCTCTGGGAAAGTGGGGCAGCTCTCTGCCTGCATCCAGTGACTGGTTAGGACAGCAGAGGTGTCTGGCAGCGCTGGCCCTGGGGGTAACGGTCATGGTTGTCCCTGGGGCCTCCCGGCCACAATCCTGGTTCACCCCAGCCTCTTATAAAGATTAGCAGTAGAGAAAGACCAGACATTTCCTGGGGCATACCCTGCTGGGGGGAACCAGAAACTGGTGATAATGGCTGCTTTGACAGCCCACGTGGGCAGACACCCTCCTATGGGGACAGTCCTCACCTGTCTAAGCAGGTTCTGAACCGGTCTTTTCTTCTGCGTTCTGGTTTGACACAGTGCGTAGGACATCAGGATTGTATACCTGCCTGGCTGGTAAAAAGCTGCGGAGGTTAACCCATGCTAAAGGACTCATGGGAGCAGCAGTGGAAAGGGGGGGCGGGGTAAAGGTGTCCTACATGAAGGCGTCTGTGGCACTCAATGGACAGGTGGGTGGCCCACCCACAGGGGGATGATATGGTCACAGTACGAAAACCTCCTGGGTTGGTCTCCACTGGGCCTCTTCGCTTACTCTTCCTTGGGTTTGCCAGGATGAGGCCGGGCCAGCCTGTAGTCCATATAGGTCCCCAGACAGGACCACAGGATGAAGCGCACCAGGAGGATGACCACCAGGAGCACCATGAGCGGGTCAGGGCCAGCGGCATCCCCAAGCCAGGAGGCCATGCTGAGGAGGGAGGCCACCACACGGGGTGGAGCAGCGGCCACCTCTCTGGGGCCTGAGCTCAGTTCTGCCTGCCGGTGGCCCCTTCTGAGGGACAGACCCGTGCAGTCCCCAACCAGCCCTTCCCACCGCACAGGGCCTCCCTGCCTGTGAGGGGACAGTTGGGGCTACAGGCGGCCTCCTTGGTCAAGAGGCCCGTGCACCATTCATGGGGAGCTAAGCACTCCGTGCCCCGACAATGGCCGCATTGTCAGAGGCCCTGGCGGCGGGAGGCCTGCGGGAGCCCGCCTCCCGCGCTGTCCCCTCGGCCCCTGCCCGCCAGGCTGACGTAATCCCCAAACATCTCCGGCGGCGGCAGCTGCAGGGCGAAGCGGCCGCCTCCTCCGGGCCTTTCCGGCTGCCGCAGACAATCGGGCTCTTTCTCTCCCCAATTAGCTATCACTTCTGGAGGCCGGCGCGGTCCGAGGCTGGGCGGGCTGTGCAGCAGCAGCAGCAGCAGCAGCAGCAGCAGGCCCGCACCGAGCGGGGGCCACGAGACTTGCAGGGAGGCCCGGCCCAGCAGGGAGGGCGGCAGGGAGACTGTGCAATTGAAAAGAGGAGAGAGGCACAGAGAGGGGGAACAGTCGGCTGGAGCCCAGAGGTGACCCCAGACATGGCTCAATTAGCACACAGGCTGTGCGCAGAGTCCCCAAGGCCGCTCCAGCCTGTGGCAGCATGGGGGTGGTCAACACAGACCGCCCTAAAAAGGATCTGGAACCTGGAAGGGGGGGAGTAATCTCCCCCCTCCAGAGCAGCCACTGGGGGTGGGCCCAACACCACCTCCTCCAGCCCCACAGAAGTTTATGAGAAGGAACCGCTACAGGGCCCCCCAGCCGCCCACACAAGGCTGCCGGCTGATGAGCCTGGGATGAGCCTGGGACTCACTGAGTGATGATGGAGAAGATGCTTGCTCCCTTAGACCTCAGGCTCCTTGCTGGGAAATGAGGTCAAAGGCCCCTGATCTGAAAGACAAAGAGAGTGTATTTAAATGGACTCAGCACCCCAGAACACACTCCCTGGAGACACACCTCCAGAATTTTCCAGAAAAACAGCACCTGCCCGGTTATGTCTGTCTGCCATACACATGTGCTCATACATACATGTGTGCGCCACACACACACACACACACACACACACACACACACACACCACACATAAGGACCCTGTCCCCTGCCATGGTCCACTCGGGCCCCTCACAGCCAAGGTCTCCTTGGGTGAGACAGCAGGCTTGCCATCTCCTACCCCTAATACCAGCCTGGTGTCCCACGAAGCAGGGCCTCACCTGCAGCCAGGGGCATTGTGGCAGGAATGAGGGTGAGAGTACCCGGCCACAGGGTACTGGACTTCCAACCCAAGTTGTCTCACCAGGAACCAGCCCAACAGGCCCGGAGAGATGCAAGGGGACTCGTCCACACAGAGAGCTTCTGTGGCCCATCACTTGTCACCTCTCACTGAACCCTCCTCTCTGGCAATATGAGTATTCACCCTGTACGAGCCCTTCTAGAAGGTTCCAAATAATGACAAACACAAAGGATGGGCAGACAGCGCACCTTAAGGGCGGGAAGTGCAGAATGAGGACGGTGCCGATTGGTGGGTTCCATCACACTAACCCCAAGTGTGCCAGATGCACGTCTGTTCCCTGTGGCCACACTCCACCTCTCACCCGGCAGCTGGTGCATCCCTGGACTGACCGAGGTTATCTTCTGCTCTGCAGTTCATGGGGTGTCTTGCCAGGCCACCCAGCCAGCATTCTCAGGACAATACTCTTGGAACAAGTTCTGGGTTTATTTTTCTCACTCCAAATGTAAATGGGGACCTAGAAATTCAGAGTCAGGCCCAAGCAGAAATCAGACCAAGCATGTGCTTGTCAAGGGGTTCCGGAATGTCCTGGAAGGTCCTGCTCACTTGCTAAAGAAACCCAAGTGAACGTGGGGGAGGGTCTCCAGATGGACACCACCATGCCTCTTGGGAAGAGAAGAAGCCAAGGTCTAGCCTCAGCCAGCGATTCACTCACCTGACAGGCCACATCTCCAGGTGAGGCTGGCTTTCTTGGAAGCCGGAGCTGTCTGCCCTGAGCGTGGCCACCAGCTCGGGCCCACCAGACTGGTGGAGCCAAGGTGGCCTTGAACAAAACTCTGTGTTTGTCAAGCATGCCATCAGATAGGCAAAGTCAATATTGTCCCAGGTCACATGGCACCTAGGGGAGACTCTGGGGTCAAGGAGGCCTGACCTTCCCTGCTCATATGCCTCTGGAAGTCAGCAAGCACAAGGTCTGAGTGTCCTTCGAGTGAGGAAGTGTGTGGCCCTCCTCCCCTGGACACACCAAGCTGCTCCTGAGAGAGGAGGTCTGTGGGGTGCTGGGCCTGAGGATGCAGGAGGCACAGGAAAAACCAAGAAATCGATGGAGACAGCTCAGACACAGCTCCTCTGCCTGGAGGACACCAGGGTGCTCCCACTGTGATGAAAGGGACTCTGGGTCACCTACAACTGTCAGCAGTGATGTACATGGTCTGTGCTATTCCTGGTCCTTCAAGGGCCTCCCCAGCCTCATTACCAGAGCTGAGGAGCTGTCCCCTGGGCAGACATCTACCAAACCTTGACCATACAGTGGAAGAGCCCTGGGTCCCCCGGACTAACTAAAGGGTACACAGTCATTAGGACAGCCCCAAATTCAGAAAACGGGCCTGTGCCCAAAGTCAACCCTTTTTATGGCTCTCCCACCCCCACGTGCTGTAGGACACAGCCCAAGGCAACACGGCAAACCCAGAGGCACCAATAGTGTCTGCTGTGACACTCAGAGCTCAGCCATGGAGGCTCTTGTCCCTTGTCACAGAGGTCAGATTAGGAGACTCTGGTTCCAAGTCTTGAAGGATCCAGGGTGCCTTCCTACACCTGTGTTCAAGCATTGAAATGACAAGGGACAGGACTTTGTCCACGGTTCCCTGGTGTTTACCAGGTGAAAACCCGGGCTGTCGGGGCAGGGCTGGGGTGAAAAGCTGGGGGGTGGGAGCTCCGGCTCTTTCCAGCAGAAGCCTGGTCCCCACTGGGGGCCTGTTGTCCCTACCAGTGACAGTGCTGGGAAGGAGCCCAGGGACCCGCTCAAGTGTCTGCTCAGAGCCCTCAGCAAGCAGATCTGTGTCCACACGTCACTTCTTCACTCCTGGCAGCAAGCGATGCCGGTGGGACGCGCTTCTCAGGGTACACCCACCCAGACATCATTAAGGTCCCACTGGACTGTCCGGGCTTGACCTCGTGACTGGGGGCATAGTCCATACCTGCTTCTGATTGGTTTATATTGCTTTGGGGGGTCATGTGAGTGGGTGCATGTGTGCATGTGCATGTGTGCGTGCGTGCGTGTGTGTGTGTGTGTGTGTGTGTGTGTGTGTGTGTGTACACCTCGGGTATCATTCCTCAGACACCAGTCACTTTTTCTCTCTCTCTCTCTCTTTTCTTTTTCTCTTGAGACAAGATCTTTCACTGACCTGGAGCTCATGTAGGCTGGGCTGGCCAGTGAGCATGATGATCTGCCTGCCTCCACCTCCCCAGAGCTGGGGTCACAAGAGCATGTCACCATAGAGGTTCTAGGGATGGAACTCGGGTCCTCACACTTGTGTGGCCAGCTCTTTACTAACGGACTGAACTCTCCCCAGCCTAGCACTACTTTTCCCTTTCCTCCGGCACTCACGACCTCTGAACTCTCGCATGGATCTATATCAGGTCTCTCACAGGTCCCCTGGGGCCATATGGGCGGGGGGGTCTCCAGGGCAAGTTAAAGGAAGCTTTAACATTTCATTAGACCAGATTCTGCCAAAACTGTGTAGCCTCCAGCTACGACCAGGGCAAAGAGTAAGACTTCTCAGCCTTAGTAACAATTGTTACTTTTATTTCTTCTTCTTCTTCTTCTTCTTCTTCTTCTTCTTCTTCTTCTTCTTCTTCTTCTTCTTCTTCTCCTCCTCCTCCTCCTCCTCCTCCTCCTCCTCCTCCTCCTCCTCCTTCTCTGTCTTCGCCTTCATCTTCATCTTCATCTTTTTTGATTTTTTTGGAGACAGGGTTTCTCTGTGTAGCCCTGGCTAGCCCGAAACTCACTCTGTGAACCAGGCTGGCCTCGAACTCACAGAGATCCTCCTGCCTCTGCCTCCCAAGTGCTGGGATTAAAGGTGTGTGCCACAATGCCTGACACTTTTATTTCTTCTTAACATTTATTTTTATACTATATTCATGGGTGTTTTCCCTGCATTATGTCTGTGCATCGTGTGTGGACAGTGCCCACAGAGGCCAGAAGAGGGTGTTGGATCTCCTGAAACTGGAGTTACAGACAGTTGTGAGTCACCATGTAGGTGCTAGGAATTGAACCTGGGTCCTCTGCAAGAGCAGAAAAAGCTCTTAATGGCTGAGCCATCTTCCCAGCCCCCAACTGTTTCTTTTACCTTGTCACAAAAATCAGACACTCATGTTGACAGAGAATGAGAGAACAAGAATGAGAGAGAGAGAGAGAGAGAGAGACAGAGAGAGAGACAGAGACAGAGACAGAGACAGAGAGAGCAAAAGAACACGTACCTTGCAGAAGTATGTGGATGACAAAAGAATAAATTGTCAGCTACTTCTGCCAAGATGGAGCCCCAAACAGTAAGGAACCCTCAGAATCAATGGAAACCTTGGGGGAGACTCTCGAAGAAAGTCTGTGGTCAGCTCACTTCTTCCCTGAGAATCTCACCCTTCAAACTCCAGCCACAATAGGGCCTGGTAGTACATGTGTATGCCTATAAAACAAGGACTAAGGAGGTAGAGGCAGGTCGTAAGTTCAAGGTCAACGTGAGCTACAGTAGCAAACAGGACCAAAGGATATGGCTGAGTGGCTAAGGCACTTGCCTCACGAGCAGGAGGTACAGTGTAGGGTGGGTGTGGCAGTCTGCATGCAATTCCAACTTGGAAGGCAAACCACTAGCCCTGCTATTTGCTAAGTTCAGTTTGACTGAAAGACCTGCCTCATTGAGTAGATAGAAGAGAGACAGA